ATCATATCATATGTCATTTTACCAAAACAAACCAAATCCTTGAAATGGAAAGTGACCTCCCACTTCAAGTCACATTTGCATAAATAATTGTTCGAAGGGTTTGCCTTTCTTATGTGCAATGATGTTTGGCCTTGGTTCTTTTTGAAAACACAAATATTGTATATGTATTTTTAATAAGTTGAAGTCCCAAATTCCACAACCTCCACTAGAAGCTTCTTTCTTGCTTTGGGTTTGGGGTCAACATGCTACTGTTGTTGAAATATCTAAATATCTGTTCGGAAAGTTTTGAGTTTGGACTAAAAAATTGATTTTCGTATATTTTTTTTATACTCAGGCACATTCAATTTTTTTATTTTTAATCTTTAAATTAAACAAACAAAAATAATTTTACTACGTAAATAAATAAACATGTACAGAAAAAATTGCATAGAAATTGTTTTCCTTAGACAAGTAACAGCTGACTAGGTCTTTTCATCTATTGACTCAACTTGAATGATGCAATTTGAGACAGCCCCACTTATATATCTTCTTTGAACTTGTAATTCCATTCACACATGTTTTTAGGTTTCCTACATCATTAATTCTTGACGGTTGACAATGAGAAGAACATTGTTCATTGAAATCAGGGACAACATTATACACCAGAACTTGCTTTTTCTGGGGGACATGGAACCAAGATTTCAAAGAGGATAATGACAGTTGCCCGTTCGTCTCTATAGAATTGACCACCACCCGCACCGCCGCACACGAAATCTCCTTTTATCCCTAATCACTTTTCTCTCTTTATTCTAGTTTTTATTTATTTATTATTATTATTAATAAGAAGACGGGGAGAGAGTTGTAAACTATTACTTAATTTAGGAGATGGACCCGTAACACATACCACGACAATATTGGACCACAACTTTTATTCTAGCCTTAGGGTCGAGTAAATCACATAAGAATTAAGGTTCAAAACCAATGAGAGGAATGTGTAAGGAGAAAATAAGAATGTGAAATTTACTACCTTTTTTCGTTAGTGCATAACTCTTGCTCAAATAAACCCTAAACTCAATAGTTACTTACAACTATAAAACAATCATCTCTTTGCAAAATTATTATATAGCGCCACTTCAAAATAAGTCACCATGTACTCCCTTATGATAAAGGACACATAAGGTAATACGAAAGTTATGATTTCATTCGTTGATAAAATAATACTAGTGACTAGTTCTTTGTTTTTTTTTTTCCAATATACTAGTGACTAGTTCACTTGTAATAACAACTAATTACAGCACATCTAACTAATTACAAACTAATCAAAAAACTGTTACAATCAAATTATAACAAATTCAACTATCTTGAGTAGACTTATTTACAATACTACCCTTATTAGGAGGACTTGAAAATGTGCAAGATGGTTTTTTTAGAGTACCAATCAAAAGTCCTTTGTTTGAGAGCATTTCCAATAATGTCAATGACAGCAAGTGTCACAAAGTAATTATCATAGAGAATGGTTGCTTCATTGACACCTCATATTTAGTTGACTACCCACAACTGGAATTGGATCCGTCCTAGACCTTAGTATCCGGAGCCTAAGGATCAACACATCTGGATTGCTGATTAACGTGTAAAAGAAATCAAAGTTGTTGGTTTGTGTATGATGGATATGCCCCGGACGTTAAGGTCTGGAGTGAATCTAATTCCCCACATACTTAATACGCCTTAAATTTATTTTTATATTAAAATTTATCACACCCCACATGCATTCCAATACTACCCTCACATCCCACACCCTCTACATACAGTCCACAATTACTTGTTAAACCCCACATCAAACTCATCCTCTTCATCATGGACAACTATTTAAATGTATATTATATATCGTATATTGTATGTGGGCGGTGAAGCCAACTTGCTGACATATTGATGATATACGTGATCCAAATAATGTTGCCTTTAGACTAATCACCTCTAATTGAATATTTCCGGAAAATTCAGTTTCGAATGCAAGTCTTTGCGTTAGTGAGTGCAAGGATTCATATTGGAAAATGGTGGATGCAAGTCTTTGCGTTAGTGATTACAAGGATATTGACACCCCATAATTTGTCGAACCTATCCACTTAAAATTTTAAATAGTGAATAACTTATACATACAAATGAAATGATTATTTAGGCCCTAAAAATGTTTAGCTACAATTTTGATCTATAAATACATCCCCAAGAAAGTCCACCCTCACAAGAATCTAACTGTGTTGATATGCTTTCTGTAAATGGAACTCTCTAGGTCTACTCTTGGAATTACATATGAATGAATACAATGGCTGATCGAAACGGTCAAGAATTCAGCAGCCCAAAACCTTTGGCGTCGCTGGTCTACATTTCAAAAAATGCAGATTCGCTTCCTTCAGGATCTATCTTCGATGGGACGCTTGACATTTCAACAGACAAACCGGTCTTCCACTTGAATGAATAGTTAACTTAATTATTTCGTCTTTTTAAATTTATTTTTCATGTATATAAATTGTTTTTCCAGTTTTGTTTTGTTGCTGGGAATTAATCAACTAACTTTTTGAGCAACGGAGAGAAATGGAAAGACACTCATGTCCCAAACTGTATATGTATGATGTACTTGATCTTTTAAAAAAAATATATAAAAGGTACGATACTCTTTTAGATTCGAAAACCATACAAATTGAGGATAATATGCATACATGGATCTCATTAAAAATCTTGTCGGAATTTTCAATCCGGTCAAAGGGAAAAAGAGCGTCCGGCACATCTAAACTAAAGTTAACTATCCTCAAACCAAATCAAATAATACATTTTGATTTGAAAAATCTTCAAATAGCGCATCCAAAATTAATCCCGGAGGTTCATCACGCCACACAATCTCCTGAGCACACCCCATTCCAGCACGTCCAAGTCTGAGCAACTTGATTTGCCTCGCTTTTCATATGGCATGGCTTTGCATGAGAAAAATCTTTGAAGAAAGATCGAATATCATTAATTATAGGACCTAGAGGAGATGTATCTTCTCCTTGGCCATTTGATGACTGAATCTCCTTCGAAGACACAATTATTCCGGTTCAAACCAAGATTCCGAGCAAGAACAACAGCACATCATGGCTGCGATGATGTACTTGTTACTAACATTATATATAAAATCTCAAATATGTTTGTGTTGGAAATTTGATATTAAATTAATATTAAATTTCTACATATGAATGGAAATTAAGTAAAGGGACTTAAGGATCATTAAGCACAAAATAATTCCCGTGTTAAAGAGTGTCTAAAAATAGAGCACCGTTCCAAGTTGATAAAGCATTCAAACTATTTATGCACAAAATAAATCCTGCTTTGGAATCGTGTTGTTTATTTAACAGGTTAAATATGTCACGACTTGCATGTGAGACTTAACCCACATAATATTGTAAATAATATCATTAATAAAAAACAAAAACAAAAAGTTAAAACCTGTTCTCGAACTGCATAACCTGTTTACCCACTTCACTCCACCTTCCTTGTCATCTCTGGGCCTCTCCATCGTCCTCCCACCATCCTCGCTCTTTCAAATAACTCTTTTGGACCCAAGCACTCTTCTAAGGCCATCTTCAACTTTTTAAAAATTTAAAAGTTTTAGTCCGGAAAATTTAAGTTTTAATCTAGAAACAACTTTTTTGTTCTAACCCTACTAAGTTAAAATTTTAGTTTAAAGAATGAATTTAGCCTAATAGTTTTCTTAAAGCAACTTTTTTAGAAGAAAAATTGGGTAGACTATCCTAATTTAATTTTATGAACATTTAACCTAAAAATAATTAGATTCCAACAAATATTGAAAAATCACTAACCGACACCCTGAAACTCATGAAACATTATGAAAAAATATGAAACACATAAAAGAATTTCTTTTTAATTACTTTAGTTGTTGAATTTAAATTTGGACCGCTGGATTTTTTTTTACCGTTGGATTTCATCAAATTAGATCTTAATCGTTGGATTCAATGAATTTATAAATATAAAACTAAAAAATATATACATATATAGTGGCCCAGCCCCACTAATCTTGAGGGAATTCTGGGCTAAATTTGACCCAGAAATGAGTTTTGAGTTTTGAGTTTTAACTTATATTTGCTTCAAGGTTAGAATAAGTTGGAGTAAGTTTAGACTCTAAATTTTGAATTTTATTCAAAGGTTGGAGTAGGTCTAAGAGAACAACCTCCTTTCGTTGCTCTGGAGACTGGCAGCACATCATCACTCGCCCCTCTCTCAACCTTATTATGCTTTTTCTTGTTGGACGATGATTACTACAACTCGTCGAGTTTGTGGCTAAATTCAATCATTTTGCAACGGTTATTAGCAGTAGTCGCAAGTACTCGTTCCCGCCAAAATTCATCTGGGATTATGGATTGACAAATGGTTAATGACCATTAACACCACAAAATCGGTTAAATGTGAGGGGTATTATGGTCCAACGACGAAGCTCCGAGGTGAGATTCAGACAGTCCTCTCTAGATCTTGGTATGCTTTCTTGCATGTTTGTTTTGTTTTTAGGGTTACGGTGCTTTAATTTATTTAGGGTACTTGATGATGCCCAATTTTTTTGTTCTCATAAAAATTCTCTTTTTATGCTCAAAATATGTATTTTTTTTTTGTTCATTTAGTTACTAATAGTTATTATCTCTCAACTAAAAATTCGTAACCATTGATCTCTTAACTCATCAAAACGTGCAACTATGATCATGTTCGTCAACTCCGTTAAAATATCCGTCAAAATGAGTCACTTAATGAAAATATAAGGAATAAACATATAATGTGTCAAGCCACTAGGAATAGCCTAGTAGTGAGGGTGTGGGGTAGATTAGGTCCCAGGTTCGAGGCCTGATGTGGGTGGGATGGGGTGGGGATTAAAAAATAATAATAAATAAATTTTAAAAAAAAAAAAAATATATATATATATATATATATATATATATATATAATGTGTGTTCATTTAAGCATTTAACAAGTTTATTACAAAGTTATGCAAATTTCGAAATTTCTAATCGGATTCAAAATATTAAATACATTCTAATTCTTATCCAATTTTTTTTCGGATTTCGAATTTCGGTTTTGGATTTGAAACAGACAGAATATTTTATAACAATGACCCAAGTTATTGTCATGCAACATGCAAAGGGCCCTTATGAGTAAGGAATAGACCTAGTACATGTTTTGCTACTTTACAACACAATTGCTTCTCTCTTTTCTAACAATTAGAACCTATTTTGCTCGAACGAAATATTTTTCATACAATGCTTTAGAAATAGCAAGAGCATCTCCTTTTGCCTTCACCCGGTAAAGTTCGGTACCTGCTTGCCAATTGTTTGAATACGCTATCCATTCTTTTCTCCATTCCTCCAACTCGAAGTCCTTGTTGTCTCTCAAGCTTTTTGACAAAAGACCAAAGTAGGTTGAAGCTCGAGGTAGATAGTAGCTTTTCAATAGCCCACTCCAGAACTTATTTGCTGTTGACAACGAGAATTTCTATGATACAGAGAAATAAGAAGTGACAAAGCTTTAAGTTAACACTAAGTGAGGTAGAAGTTTGGATTACCGTAATCATGAAGCCTGCTCTGGTTGGTTTTTGTGTTATCAAACCACATTGTCACCTGCGTCCTTGCATTCCACTCGTACTGAAAAAATAAAGTTTATAACATTTCGTAAGGCGAAATTTGGGCTGAACTCCTGATGTTTAGCAGGGTAATACAGTGCAGAAACCCAGGAGAAAAGACAAGATGGCTCTTTTCCCTTGGATGCACAGAGAACATAAGCCTATAATGGATAAATTAAGAGCAAGAAATGGAAAAATGTGTAGCTTAGCTAACCCCAATAATCGAACTAAGGTGTTGCGTCATGCTGATATGTCTAAACTAACTGTGCAATGTTATCCCCAAGAAAATTCTAATAAGCTAAAAGCAAATAGGCCAAAGAGGGAAATATTTGCCCTCACCTGCTGCATTTCCGTAGGATTAGCTGCCAGATTTTTTGCACTTTCAAGCCAGGTTCCAAGTAAAAAATTATCATCAGAAGCGAGCAGTTCATCAATATCCATTATGAGTTGAACAAACTTTTGACTATGGTGACTATAAGCTTTTACATCCCTCCTCCGGTAAGCTGTCACTGCATCCAGATATACTTGATTTGCTAGCTTTGAAAGTACTTGCCGTGTCAAATCAACCAAGTCATATCTGTCACGGTGCCAAGAATAATTAGGAATGATCAAATGTTTTATATCCCTTTTCCTACAATTGGCTTACTGGAAGTAACTGGATGTTTGAAGATAACTGTAAAATCCTATCGTGATCCATTTTTGTGTCTAAGGCGTTTTATTCAGCTGAGTTCCTTTGTCAAGAAACTAGCAGATAAAGAACTTGTATTTAACAACCTCTGGAAGGAAAGTGAACTTAAAGAGTGGTTACCATGCATGCTATGACACCAAGGAAAACAAAATCAAGACAAATGTTCTGCAGGGAGCAAGTGATTCATTCAGGAGAATTATATTTATCATGTGAATACAGGTCGGATCATATATCTCAGATTTCATAACACAAGAATGCGGTTTTTCCTTTACCTATATGTCAGGCTTCCAGAGAATTCATTTCCAGTGTCAAGGAATAGTCGTAAAGCATTGACCACCTCTTGAGTAGAATACCACAAATGTGCCTGAGGCAAATTAGAGCTGGTTTTTTGGAGCAAAACTCTTCTCTTTTTATCGAGCGGGATGAATGATTGCATCTGGTTTTGTTTTGAAATGTTCGATATGTGATTTGGTGATGGATCCCAGTCAGGGAGTTTGACTATGAAATCTGTGTTATGGTCCTGCGACAAGTTAAATATCCATATCATTCGTGGTACGGTGAAAAGACACAATCATTAACTGCAGGAATCAGACTTTATTTACATCCACCTCTCACTCCTAAGTTACTAACATCAGTAATGCATTGTAGTTAAAATTTATCGATTATGGAAACATCACATCTTGCCTCGTCAAAACTATTTAAATGAAATACATGAAACATAATCAAGGCCATAGATGCATCAAAAAGTGTCCATCCAATAACAATACCACTAACTGCTAAAGCATGGTTATGCTTTTTCCCCTTTTTCAGTCTGGATAATGTCATAGATGCATCAAATGACTTGAGATAACCACTCGCATAAGGAAGCACAGTGATGTATGATGCCCTTCATAGTTTGATGATCATTCCAAAATTATGTTTTTGAAGAAATAAAAAGTCATACGCATTGGATCAATGGAGTTTTTTGAGATACGTACAGCAATCCCATCTGTACAGTTGTAAATTGTCTGGTGAAGGATGTCCCAAGCTGCCTCAACTTTAGGAACTGCATTACCATAGCGTCTCCGGGAATAGATCTTTAGCCAATCCTGCAAAGAGCGCATGCGTACATAATTAATGTCAGCAACCAACAATCAACATAAAATGCTGTTTCTGTACTCATCTTAATTACTTTAAGTGCGTTAAGTCTATCATCTTTAACAGCTATTTGTAGAATGAAAAAAAGAAGACCCTGTTCTTTGAGAAGCAACTGCATTCTCATCTTCCAAACATCTACGTTAAGAGGTTCCATTTTGTGATGCTTGACAATTGTATGTGTTAATGGTGCAATCATATCAGCAACCATTGAAGATAATGAAACTTTGACATATCTGTATCATGATCCAAAACCAAACTAAAGTTGTTTTCCTTATAAGTAAATAATGTGAGGTTTCCCAAGAGAGCTTGAAGTGTTCTAAATGATCAGAGCATCCCTTGACTCAATCACACATAATAGTAATGTTTTGGAAGATCAGAGCATCTCTTGGATCAATACATAATAGAAATTATCTAGACCGCAACATATGGCAACAACTTAAATAAAAAGACTGAAACATCACTTACTTAACTATTGTTGACCAACAAAATCATTTACTGTTGAAAGTAAATTATAAAATCTCCACACAGCCATGCATTGGGCTTATACCGTACCGTAAGTACCATAGCAAAGCAAGACTTATTGTACTAAATCTCTTTTGTTTAAAGCCTAAAGTTTGGTACTTTCCTGTACACTACTCTTCAAGTGGATCCTTTCATGAAAACATCTACCCTAACACCTAGAACACAAGAACTGTATTTCATCAGCTGACCATTTCAACTTGTGCGGACCTGCATCAACTTTGTTACACTTACATTGATGTTCAGAATATTTGAGAATAAATCCTTAACACTTGTTAGATGTCCAAACGGTAACTACTCATGCTCACCTATGTCCACGACTCCATGTCATAGTTGCAAATAGCCAATGTATAAACTATTTATTCTTATTAGAATACAGAAACAAATATTTACACACTTAAAAAGGAACTAACAGCATCCCTAACTACTCCAATTATTGCAAAACGTTTAACAATTCATAAATACCTGAACTTGAACCTTTTCACTGCGAAATGCCATTTCAGACGTCAATTCATAAACAACTGGATTGTGCTCAATACCTTCCATGCACATGCCAACTCCAACCTATCATAATAACGAAAAGTTGCTTAAGTGTGCCTAAAATAAGTAATTTTTTATTACATAAAATTATCAAATATACTTTTACTTCCCAGTTTTATTTTATAAATAACTAAATAAATATTGGTCACAGAATATCGTTTTGTAGTGTGATGGCAAGATATTGGCACTTCTGTTTGAACATTAGAAAGTATAGACTAACATAAAAACATAAGTCTTTTACAGTAATAAGACATGCATGCAAGGTATCTGGCATACCATAGTAGAATTTTCACTAGTTCGGGCGTCAACTGGACCTGAAGAAATTGCATCCAATATGCCATACATTTCAATGTTTCCACCAAAATTGTGCAAGAGACACCTGACGTAGATAAATAGTTGGCCAAGTAAAAAAAACATTTTAATCACAGTGTTGAAACTTAATGTAAATACTAACAAATCAATGGAGGCGTATCTTGAAGATTAAGCTTCTCACTCAAGAAGTCAAGATTAACTAAAAGTTAACAAATTCAAGAGCTAATTACCAAATATAAGGAGTGCCATAAAATTGAGATGATGTTTTCCATATTGGTTTGACATCCGCAAATAGATCAAGAACTATCATTTTTCCAAACGGAACCGAATGTAGAAGAGCCTGCACATATATTTAAGTTGTTAAAGAATAAGACTAACAAATGATAAGTTTTAAGTGAAAACATGACTTTTCAAGCCACTGAATATTGCACAATGGCGTTCTAGGATTCATATAGCCAACCCCACTTAGTGGGCTAAGGCTTTGTTGTTGTTGTATGATTACAGAACCCTGACGGTGAAGGATGGAGCTTGTTCCTCTATTATCTTCCACCAAAAGCCCTACTTCAATGGCACTGCCATATACTTTTCATGCACATGGCTGGATCTGATGTCTTTCTGTTCAACTGCCTCCAGGTGTTCTGGATGCAATTAGTTCTGATTTTTTTCCCCTCATTACAGCGTTTACCAAAATGCTTAAGTTTTCCATTCCATGGTTATTAGTCACTAATCAACTTATTCCAAAAGCTGTACCAGGATTCCGGGAATCACAACAACAACAACAACAACAACAAAGCCTTTTCCCACTAAGTGGGGTCGGCTATATGAATCCTAGAACGCCATTGCGCTCGGTTTTGTGTCATGTCCTCCGTTAGATTTTCAAGTACTCTAAGTCTTTTCTTAGAGTCTCTTCCAAAGTTGTCCTAGGTCTTCCTCTACCCCTTCGGCCCTGAACCTCTGTCCCGTAGTCACATCTTCGAACCGGAGCGTCAGTCGGCCTTCTTTGCACATGTTCAAAATCACCGGAGCCGATTTTCTCTCATATTTCCTACAATTTCGGCTACTCCTACTTTACCTCGGATATCCTCATTCCCAATCTTATCCTTTCTCGTGTGCCCACACATCCCACGAAGCATCCTCATCTCCGCTACACCCATTTTGTGTACGTGTTGATGCTTCACCACCCAACATTCTGTGCCATACAACATCGCTAGCCTTATTGCCGTCCTATAAAATTTTCCCTTGAGCTTCGGTGGCCTACGACGGTCACACAACACGCCGGATGCACTCTTTCCATCCAGCTCGTATTCTATGGTTGAGATCTCCATCTAATTCTCCGTTCTCTTGCAAGATAGATCCTAGGTAGCGAAAACGATTGCTTTTTGTGATCTTCGCTAGATTGCTCCGGTCATTAGTGTGGATAAGTATATAAATGGATAGAGATAGGAAAGCAAACACAAGATGTACGTGGTTCACCCAGATTGGCTACGTCCACGGAATAGAAGAGTTCTCATTAATTGTGAAGGGTTTACACAAGTACATAGGTTCAAGCTCTCATTTAGTGAGTACAAGTGAATGATTTAGTACAAATGACATTAGGAAATATTGTGGGAGAATGATCTCGTAGTCACGAAACTTCTAAGTATCGGAGTGTGGTGTCGTCTTGACTTGCCTTATCTGTCTCATAGGTAGATGTGGCATCTTCTCTGGAAGTACTCTTCCTCCATCCAGGGGTGGTATCTTTAACTGGTGGAGATGCACAAGGTAATGTATCAATTTCACTTGAAGCTTACTTGTAGTTTCAGGCTTGGTCAAGCGCGATACAAACCATGTAGTAGGAGTCCCCCAAGTCGCCGAGCTAGGGGGTCTGCTGAAAGAGGTGACAGACAAGGTAAGCAATCAGAGCTCCGACTGATTGTTCACCTTCTCCCCATCTTGCAGCAGCATGAAGGATAAAGAGAAGAAAAATGAGAAGAGATGATATGAGATACTTTTGCTTTTGAAGAAGTAACTTTCCACAGGCTTATTCTTGAACTGAGCTGGAGGGTTTTCTGGTTTCCTCCAGAGTATAAGGCCGACTGAAGAATTTGAGGGTCAAAACAAGTCCATCAAATCTAGAGTACGTTCCACCCTGCTGATATGGGATACTTTTGCTTTTGACAGAGTAATGAATGTATCGGCACGTGTGCTGTTACGCTTGTCTCCACATGCTTCCTTGTATCCTTCGCACTTGCCCTATCTGTTCCTCAAGCAGATGCGGAATCTTCCCTGGAAACATAAGATGTTGAAGATGAGTACTCGAGAGCAATGCCAGGTAAGTAATCAGGTAAGGGGTTCCAGGCAGTCAGTTCCTGGCTGGAAGCTTGATTCCAAGTGCTGACTGATTGCTCTCTTTCTCCTTGTCTTGCAGGTAAAAACAAGGCCAAAAGAAAAGACAGGGAAAAAGCATGATATGGGATACTCTTGCTTTTAACCCTGATGATATGAGATATTCTTGCTCTAGTATAGCTTGTTTGCAGAGGTATTATCGGGGGGAAAGAAAGCTGAATATTTCGAAAGGCTTCGTTGGGAGTGCCCTCTCAGATATGATGAAGGGTTGAGCATTTTTGCAGGTCTGCCTGTCCGTTGGGGATGGAGGTCGACATATATAGGAGTCTCCCTAACAACAAGTAGTAATGCTATTCCTTTACCCTGCTTGGTCATAGCACAGTAGTGGGAGCTGCCAGTTTCACATGTTTTAACTCTGTCAGAGCACTTTGAAAAAGTGGTCTGTGGTATCTGGCTCTCGAGATTCGGAGAACGATGCCTCTTCGATTTTTGAGAAAGCAATCATGCTGGGGGTATGACTCTCGAGATTCGGAGAGCAGTGTCTCTTCGATTTTTGAGGAAGTAATCATGTTGGGAGTCTGGCTCTCGAGATTCGGAGGGCGGTGCCTCTTCGATTTTGGAGCAAGCAATCTTGTTGGGAGTGTTGTCTCGAATGTGAGTAAAGGTTGGGCATGTTTGCTAGTCTACCTTGCCACGAAGCACAAAGGTTGACACACAGGGACTTTCCAATTATCCAGCAATGGTACTGTTCCTTTACCCTCTCTTCGATTTTGAGAAAGTAGTCATGTTGGGAGTCTGGCTCTCGAGATTCGGAGGACGGTGCCTCTTCGATTTTTGGAGCAAGCAATCTTATTGGGAGTGTTTTCTCGAATGTGAGTAAAGGTTGGGCATGTTTTGCTAGTCTACCTTGCCACGAAGCACAGAGGTTGACACACAGGGACTTTCCAATTATCCAGCAGTGGTACTGTTCCTTTACAGTTTGTGGGGTAATAATATGGTAGCTAGACCTTCAAAATTTATGTGTCTAAACTTTTGTTAGTGCTGTTTCTTTGCTATTCTTTTACCTTTCTTGGTCAGAGCGATGTAGTGGGAGCTGCAAGCTTCACGTGCTCAACTTTGGCAGAGAACTTTGGCAAAGTTATTTGTGGTACCCATGAGCTATTGTTGCGTGTGGGAAGTGGGTGATTGAACAGTAAGATTCATGTGCTTTCTACTTCACCAGAAGTCTTCGACAGAATGCCCATAATTTCTGCAAAGCTGAGTGTGCGTGTGACAGGTGCTGACAAGGCTAGAAAAGTAGGTGCCTCTTCGATTTCTGAGATCGGCCCTCGTGGTCTCTGAGCAGCCCAGCTTTTGAGAAAGCGAGCGCCTCTTCGATTGATTCGGAGAACGATGCCTCATCGATTTTTGAGAAAGCAATCATGCTGGGGGTCTGGCTCTCGAGATTCGGGGAGCAGTGTCTCTCTTCGATTTTTGAGAAAGTAATCATGTTGGGAGTCTGGCTCTCGAGATTCGGAGGGCGGTGCCTCTTCGATTTTGGAGTAAGCAATCTTGTTGGGAGTGTTTTCTCGAATGTGAGTAAAGGTTGGGCATGTTTGCTAGTCTACCTTGCCACGAAGCACAGAGGTTGACACACAGGGACTTTCCAATTATCCAGCAGTGGTACTGTTCCTTTACCCTTGTGGGTAATAATATGGTAGCTAGACCTTCAAAATTTATGGGTCTAAACTTTGTTAGTGCTGTTTCTTTGCTATTCTTTTACCCTTCTTGGTCAGAGCGATGTAGTGGGGAGCTGCAAGCTTCACGTGCTCAACTTTGGCAGAGAACTTTGGCAAAGTTATCTGTGGTACCCATGAGCTATTGTTGCGTGTGGGAAGTGGGTGATTGAACAGTAAGATTCATGTGTTTTCTACTTCCCCAGAAGTCTTTGACAGAATGCCCATAATTTCCGCAAAACTGAGTGTGCGTGTGACAGGTGCTGACAAGGCTGGAAAAGGCTTGAAAAGTAGGTGCCTCTTCGATTTCTGAGAATCGGCCCTCGTGGTCTCTGGGGAGCCCAGCTTTTGAGAAAGCGAGCGCCTCTTCGATTTTTGAGATCGGCCTTCGTGGTCTTTGAGCAGCCCAACTTTTGAGAAAGCAAACGCCTCTTCGATTTCTGAGATCAACCCTCGTGATCTCTAAGCAGCCCAGCTTTTGAGAAAGCAAACGCCTCTTCGATTTCTGAGCAGGCGCCTCTTCGATTTCTGAAGCTTCGTCGAGTGCAGATTTTTATAGGGGCTGGCATTAAGTTCCAAAGCACACTTGAATCTCCACCAGTAGAAGCTTCATTCTTGCACTTCTAAGATCTTGATTTGTCCGACCTCTTCTCTCTTCAACACCTTTGAAAATGTATGGCCCCTCCGACCGTCGTTTTGACTTGAACCTTGTTGAAGAGGCAGCCCCGCCTTCTCCAGACAACATATGGCGCCCATCCTTCGTCTCCCCTACTGGTCCTCTTACCGTTGGGGATTCCGTGATGAAGAATGATATGACCGCTGCGGTGGTGGCCAGGAACCTTCTCACTCCCAAAGATAACAGACTACTTTCCAAACGGTCTGATGAGTTAACTGTTAAGGATTCGCTGGCTCTCAGTGTTCAGTGTGCAGGTTCTGTGTCTAATATGGCCCAACGCCTATTTGCTCGAACCCGCCAAGTTGAATCATTGGCGGCTGAAGTGATGAGTCTCAAACAGGAGATTAGAGGGCTCAAGCATGAGAATAAACAGTTGCACCGGCTCGCACATGACTATGCTACAAACATGAAGAGGAAGCTTGACCAGATGAAGGAAACTGATGGTCAGGTTTTACTTGATCATCAGAGATTTGTGGGTTTGTTCCAAAGGCATTTATTGCCTTCGTCTTCTGGGGCTGTACCGCGTAATGAAGCTCCAAATGATCAACCTCTGATGCCTCCTCCTTCTAGGGTTCTGTCCAGTACTGAGGCTCCAAATGATCCCCCTCCGGTGCCTTCTCTTTCTGGGGCTCTACCGACTGCTGAGACTTCTCCAAAGCAACCTTTGTGAAGGCTCCCTCTTGTGTGCTTATTTTGACTCATGTATATGTACATATTTGTGTAGCTTATCGGGGATATCAATAAATAAGCTTTCCTTCATTTCAACGTATTGTGTTAAATACACCAAAGCCTTCTTCGCTAAGTTCTTTGAATTTTCTTTTGTTAAAGCTTGTATGTTGAAGCTTTCTGAGTGGAGCATGTAGGTTGGGGTAGTGTTCCCTTAATTTCCCGAGTGAGGAAAACTTCTCAGTTGGAGACTTGGAAAATCCAAGTCACTGAGTGGGATCGGCTATATGAATCTTAGAACGCCATTGTGCTCGATCCTGTGTCATGTCCTTCGTTAGATCTAAGTACTCTAGGTCTTTTCTTAGAGTCTCTTCCAAAGTTTTCCTAGGTCTTCCTCTACCCCTTCGGCCCTGAACCTCTGTCCCATAGTCGCATCTTCTAATCGGAACGTCAGTAGGCCTTCTTTGCACATGTCCAAACCACCGTAACCGATTTTCTCTCATCTTTCCTTCAATTTCGGCTACTCCTACTTTACCCCGGATATCCTCATTCCTAATCTTATCCTTTCTCGTGTGCCCACACATCCAACGAAGCATCCTCATCTCCGCTACACCCATTTTGTGTACGTGTTGATGTTTCACCGCCCAACATTCTGTGCCATACAGCATCGCCGGCCTTATTGCCGTCCTATAAAATTTTCCCTTGAGCTTCAGTGGCATACGGCGGTCACACAACACGCCGGATGCACTCTTCCACTTCATCCATCCAGCTTGTATTCTATGGTTGAGATCTCCATCTAATTCTCCGTTCTTTTGCAAGATAGATCCTAGGTAACGAAAACGGTCGCTCTTTGGTATTTCTTGATCTCCGATCCTCACCCCTAACTCGTTTTGGCCTCCATTTGCACTGAACTTGCACTCCATATATTCTGTCTTTGATCGGCTTAGGCGAAGACCTTTAGATTCCAACACTTCTCTCCAAAGGTTAAGCTTTGCATTTACCCCTTCCTGAGTTTCATCTATCAACACTATATCGTCTGCGAAAAGCATACACCAAGGAATATCATCTTGAATATGTCGTGTTAACTCATCCATTACCAACGCAAAAAGGTAAGGACTTAAGGATGAGCCTTGATGTAATCCTACAGTTATGAGAAAGCTTTCGGTTTGTCCTTCATGAGTTCTTACGGCAGTCTTTGCTCCTTCATACATATCCTTTATAGCTTGGATATATGCTACTCGTACTCCTTTCTTCTCTAAAAATCCTCCAAAGAATGTCTCTTGGGACCCTATCATACGCTTTTTCCAAATCTATAAAGACCATGTGTAAATCCTTTTTCCCATCTCTATATCTTTCCATCAATCTTCGTAAGAGATAGATTGCCTCCATGGTTGAGCGCCCTGGCATGAACCCGAATTGGTTGTCCGAAACCCGTGTCTCTTGCCTCAATCTATGCTCAATGACTCTCTCCCAGAGCTTCATTGTATGACTCATTAGCTTAATACCCCTATAGTTCATGCAATTTTGTACGTCGCCCTTATTCTTGTAGATAGGCACCAAAGTGCTCATTCGCCACTCATTTGGCATCTTCTTCGTTTTCAAAATCCTATTGAAAAGGTCAGTGAGCCATGTTATACCTGTCTCTCCCAAAAGTTTCCACACTTCGATTGGTATATCGTCTGGGCCTATTGCTTTTTTTATGCTTCATCTTCTTCAAAGCTACAACCACTTCTTCCTTCCGGATTCGACGATAAAAAGAGTAGTTTCTACACTCTTCTGAGTTACTCAACTCCCCTAAAGAAGCACTCATTTCATGTCCTTCATTGAAAAGATTATGAAAATAACCTCTCCATCTGTCTTTAACCGCGTTCTCTGTAGCAAGAACCTTTCCATCCTCATCCTTGATGCACCTCACTTGGTTTTAGGTCCCTTGTCTTCTTTTCCCTTGCTCTAGATAGTTTATAGATATCCAACTCTCCTTCTTTGGTATCTAGTCGTTTATACATATCGTCGTAAGCCGCTAACTTAGCTTCTCTGACAGCTTTCTTCGCCTCTTGCTTCGCTTTTCTATACCTTTCACCATTTTCATCAGTCCTCTCCTTGTATAAGGCTTTACAACATTCCTTCTTAGCCTTCACCTTTGTTTGTACCTCCTCATTCCACCACCAAGATTCCTTTTGGTGTGGGGCAAAGCCCTTGGACTCTCCTAATACCTCTTTTGCTACTTTTCGGATACAACTAGCCATGGAATCCCACATTTGGCTAGCTTCCCCCTCTCTATCCCACACACATTGGGTGATTACCTTCTCTTTGAAAATGGCTTGTTTTTCTTCTTTTTAGATTCCACCATCTAGTCCTTGGGCACTTCCAAGTCTTGTTCTTTTGTCTTACTCTTTTGATATGTACATCCATCACCAACAAGCGATGTTGATTAGCCACGCTCTCTCCTGGTATAACTTTGCAATCCTTACAAGTTTATACGATCCCCTTTCCTCATTAGAAGAAAATCTATTTGTGTTTTTGACGACCCACTCTTGTAGGTGATCACATGTTCTTCTCTCTTCTTAAAGAAGGTGTTGGCTAAGAAGAGATCATATGCCATTGCAAAATCCAAGATAGCTTCCCCATCCTCGTTTCTCTCCCCAAAACCATGGCCACCATGAAAACCTCCATAGTTGCCTGTCTCCCTGCCCACGTGTCCATTTAAATCTCCTCCTATAAATAACTTCTCCGTCTGAGCAATTCCTTGCACCAAGTCTCCAAGATCTTCCCAAAATTTCTCCTTCGAACTCGTATCCAACCCTACTTGAGGTGCGTACGCACTAATCACATTGATAAGTTCTTGTCCTATTACAATCTTGATTGCCATGATTCTATCTCCTACCCTCTTTGACATCTACAACATCTTGTACCAAGGTCTTGTCCACGATGATGCCAACACCGTTTCTCGTTCTATTTGTGCCCGAATACCAAAGTTTAAACCCTGAGTTTTCTAGATCCTTTGCCTTACTACCAAACTGAGACTGTAGGATATTCCCTAATAATCAAGGACACTACTGTATAATTTCTAAAGGTTCCTATTTTCACCTGGCTTTTTCTGTGTGAACTGGTTTTTCCAGCCCTTCTGGTTATTCGAAGGGCAATGATTTAAAAAAAATCAGAAAGGAAAAGGGAGGGAAAAAGGTTAGTTAGAGAATGTGTGAGGCTGCTTGGAGGACAATTGATGAGAAAGAGACAAAGAGTCCCCTCAAAAGGCCTCAGCCACAAAACGCCGAATCACTATCTGCCTCATAACTAAGCCATATATGAAATCCAAACCTATTCATAATGGCTACTCAAAAGGCATTCAATAAACATAAAGTTACAAAAGAATATCATCAACAGGAAGACACCAGAGACTAGCGCAGGTTCAAATCTATCTGTACTCAGTTGTAAAATTGTATTCTAAGTTTTCTAACTGTGATACGCATGAGCACAGAACAAAACGAGCATATACACAATACATTGTATAGTTAATCAGAAAATTGAAAATTGAAAGTCTCTCCTGTTGAACATTCAAGGTTTTATGTTCTCCTTTTAATGCATGGCAGCCATGTGCTAACTAAGAAACTCCAGTTCCTATAAGCAAGCTATGCATACTCTATGTTAAAAGCAGCAACATATGCAAGACATATAATGTAGAAGCTTAGAATTTGATGAACACCTTCATATATGTAAGAGCTTTTATAATTTACCATGAAGACTTTCTGCCAAATTGATTCTTGCCCTGTGAATGCTAAAGGCAGGTTAATCCCCTGAAGAGCCATCCAGTCTATTTCTTTCTGCCATCTCTCCCAATCCCACCAAACAAATGAATCTGCAAAAATGTGTCATATCACATACAGTTTATTAATTTTCCATTGCCACAATAAACATATCAACTAATGTAAAAGTATTACATTACAAGTGTTTTTTTAGTGCAAATTAATTATACTTTCTTCATTTCTTAATTTACTTTTCATCCTCTTATTTCTATAATGGTTTTATTGTCAAGCTCATTGAGTTTGAGTCGTAAAACCCTCTGTGAAAACACAGGCACAGTTGTTTACGTCTCAACCCCCTAGACTCCACATTAGCAGACCCTCATGCACTCAGCTGCCTTTCTTACTCTCAATGAGACAAAGTACAACAATGTATAGACAACCTGATCGAAGCAAAAGCAGATACAAAGAGTCAATACTTACAGCTAGATGTAACAACATTTTGATAATAGTTCCACGGGACTGGTCGTTGTATCCTTAACCCTTCATCTCTTACACGAGGCAGTGATCCTGGACTTGGGATGGAAGCTAGCTGAGCACCACCAGTCTTGTCCCAAGAAACATGAGCCCCACACCAGTACTTCAAATACCAGTGGAGGCCAGATGCAATTTCAACTGCTGTGGTGCCTTTAACCCTGACAGAGGACCGTGATAATCATAAAATTACAATTGCAGATGTTCCTTCTCAATTTCTTATAATCATGAGTTTTAAGCTATCTAGCTCTTCAGGTCAATTTATCCTTGCATGCTTGTGAGATAAACAATATATCCATATTGCCAAAGCAAGCAATTGAGAATATCACAGGTGCGAATTAAAAAAAATGAAAACATCTAGTCATAAAACGTTAATCCCATTAGTAACTGGTTTTGGTATATCACACCTTCTTCAAATGGGACTAACTCTTGATGAAAATTTATATAATAAGCTACTTAAAACACATATCCCAAACAAATTTCAAGCAGTGCTGAATCAATACTTAACAAGTTTACATAATGTAGCCAATCATTCCCCGTCCTCAAATTTCTATGATTTAGAATGTTAAATTGTTCTAGATCAGAAGTTTCGTTCTTACAAATTCTGCAACAATACTGAAGGCTTTAGTTATATTTTATAGGTTGAAACTTTGCATGCAAGCACATAAATATATGCCAGAACTTTTGTTTCAAAACTGGAAAAGAAGAAAAAAGTAACTATATTTGGCAAGACATAGTTCAACATACTGTATCTCAGGACCATGTCCGCTTGACAGGTTGTAATTGTTTAGCATAAAGCAACTGTGTCCACCACAAGCATCCTGATATCGAATATGAAACAGTTAGCGTGATGAATTACAATGAAATCAATGTTTGACTAAAGCCAGAGATAGTTACAGGGAATGCCAAAGCAAAAGCGAAAAATGTTTGCGGCCAATCACGTATCAGTCACTTCAATCATGAATGGTATAGTTTAAAGTTTCATACTTGCCTACGTTTTCTCAACAAGCAAACATATCATACAACCATATAGTGATATAGATCTCATACTGAATAATTGCAAACACTGATACACATATTTATTCCTTTGAGATTATGTTGGGCCCTACTTCCTGTTTTTCGTTTTCTCCCTTTTCTCAGTAACCAAACAGAGTATCACTAGGAAGGTAAGTTTAAAACATGAAACTGGACAAGCAAACAGAACATAAAGATTTGAAAGAAATGATACCGGTCAAAAAGAGGCAATAATTAAGCAGAAAACAAACTACAACCCAAACTCAACCAAAAAACTTAAATTGAAATGCCCAATTGAAGTGTTAAAAGTGCTTTATGAACAACCAAAAGTGCTTCTAACTACGTCAAGCGGAAATACTTAAAGGCGCTTCTGTTAGTAGAAGCACTTTCTGGAGAAGCAGTTGTTAATGTTATGTGCAAACCAAACTTCATCAAGAACTTCCAGTGAGTTGACCAACAAAAAAAATTAAGAACTTCCAGTGCATTTCCACGAAGCACTTGTATTTGTAATAAAATTTTCTACATGTTTATAACAAAAGCGCTTTCACGAGCAGAAGTGCTTCCAACAAAAAGCATAAAAAAAACAACACAAATAGTCAAACCCAGAATCCAAATGTGAGAATTTTGAGCAAAAAAAGGAAAAAGAATAGTACTTGGGAGACAATCTTGAAGTCGAAACTGTGAACATGGGTAGGAAGCAATCTTTCGAGAACAGCTTTAGCTGCAGCTTCTTGAACCGAAGCCGACGACCGTTTGGAGTCCAGACGGCGGAGCAACGCCGTAACTGCTTCTGCTTTTGCTGATACAGCTAGGATTGGTACAATAAAAACAGCAATCAAAATCAGCAGCTGGATTTTGAAATTCGACATGGTTTCCGATGATATGATAGAGTGGGTGGTCACCGGCTCAATTCGTGAAATTTGTTTTAAGAAGAATCATTGTTGATTGCAATGCCTTTTGTTGGCAGGTTACTGGTAGCACTTTTTTTTTTTTTTTTTTTTTAACAAACCATATTTACCAACACTCGGAAGGGGAAGGGGAGGAATGGTTAAATCTTTAGTTTAAATTCGAATTTGACGGAAATTAAATTTAAATATTTTATTTATAAAAAATAAAAAGTTATCATTAGATCGTAATACTAAATAATGGAACATTGAACTGGTAAACTCGTTACCAACCCAATACAACCCAACATAACCACAAAAGAGCAGCCCCAAATACAATACACGGACAACCAAAATAAGAACCGCCAAAGCAAACCCAAAATAAAGCCCAAAAATAAAATTTTGAGCCCAAAACAGAAAAAACACTAACAACTTGAGAACTAGCTTCCTGCCACCACCGCGATCGGAACGCCGCTTTCCACCCGTCAGAACCAATGCTCCCAGCAAATATCTGAATTCAAGTCATACAGAGCCCAAAAAATGAAAGAGGAAAAGACTTCAAACTCCTTCAACAGTGCCATCAAGGGCATACTAAGGGAAGGAGGTGGTGGCATAAACAACCGATCCGGACCTCTACACACCTTTCAAAAAAATCTCAAAGAAACGTGAAAAATTGCGCTATAACGTGAGAAATCGCTATGAAGATAAGTGGGTAATAAAATGTACAAAATTACTGTTTTTGGTCAACTCCCTTAGCAATTCGGTCTAAACGCACCATGTGACACGCAAATCACCTTAGGAGTACATTAATATTAGGCAAAACACTAACAATTTAACTTAGTGAGACTTGGAGTAGATGTATTTGCAGGCTCTCATTGCTTCTCCAATTTGATTTTTTTCTTTCTTTCCCTTCATACTTTTGGTTTTTTTCTTTTGATTTATCTATAATAAAAGGTGAAGAAGTAGGCTAAACCTCATAATAGGCTAGTAATAATATGGTTTAAATTCACCTTTGGCTAAAATAGAAACTAAGACCTCTCACTTACAAATAAATATGAATATCACTAAACCGTAGAATTAAGTGTCTATTTCGGTGTTATTTTGACCAAAAGAAAAAAGTAATGAACGTGGGGCTCATGGGTAGAAACCTAATACCTTATCCACTAAAATATTGATCGCATACAACATGAACAACGATATTGGTATTGAGTATCAATGCTACATTATTGATGTATTTGTTAAGAATTCTAAACCCAAGCCCTTAACCCTAAGCTCTAAGGTCCTTTTAAGAGCAACTTCACCCCTAAAAAATGTGCTGGCACACAACCCATTTAATTCACTCAATGAACAATGATATACCCCAATGAACAGTAATTGGCTAAATGCATCTTCACCCTTAAACCTAAATAGCCTAGTCAATTGTTTTAAAATATTATTAATTTTTATTATAAAATAATAAAAAATAATAATTTGATTTTTAATTTATGACTTTATAAAAAATATTATTAATTTATGACATTTTATTTTATTTTTTTTAAGTTTTTGGCCGAAAAATTTGGACCGATCTGAAAATCGAACGTTCCTAATTGTGCCATGTCAGTAGCCATTAATTTTAAATTTCAAAATCTTTTGCTTGGGCTGGCCTATGGACTAGCTTGGGCTAGGTGCCAACCTATTTGGATGGGCTAGAGGGTTTTTAAGGGGTGCCAGTCTATGTGATTGGGGTGGAGTTGCTCTAAGAACAATCTAAGATCCTACACCCATAGCGATTAACCTCATACTTTTACGGACATTTTAAAACTCTAAACTCAAAATGATCAACCTCATACATTGACGGACTTTATAAAACTTTTCCCTCTTAAATCTAAAGCACCTTCTAAAATCCTAAAAAAAAGAATAATCTTCGGAAGAAGATAATAGTTTTAAAATCACGTTCAGACACATATGAAAGGCTTAAGTTCATGCACCTCATACACTTCACACTCACCTCATAAGTATTTTTATGAATATTTACACTAATAACTATAAGTAAATGACAAAACTAAATAGGTAAATGAATATTTTTTTATTAAAATATCAAAAAGATTAACTGCAGACAAACTCAAGAATCCGTTCTACGAAATTTAAATCTCAAAAATTAAAATAAATAGTTATTTAACTTAGCTTTTTATTGGATGATGGACCACTTGACACACCCTAACCCGAAGACTAGGACGTGCTGGCCGTCACGTGAGTGTGACGTAACCATAACGCAAGCGGAAACGATTTAATAATAAAATACGAGTCAACGAAAACCACTAATTGCAGTTATTTACAACCTAGCATTCTATGTGCATAAGAGTGTACTAAACACACATAAACAGAGCATAAGCATCTAGGTGCAGTCAAGTAGGAACATAACTAATTTACAACACCCTCGGGTGAATCCTACATTAATTTAGTCTGTCAGAACGCCGAAGCAGTCTCGTAGGCCACCAACGCCTCAACTATCAACTAGAACCTGGAGGGGCGAAAAACAGAAAACGTGAGTGGGCGAAAATAAGCTTTTCCAAATCATTTCATAAATCCACAATTATAATAACCCCTTTTTGGAAAACCTGTATACTTTCCCAGAAAAATAGTATATAGCATATATATCTCAACTGTCTCAATCATCAATCTTATAACAGATTCAATAAAGAATGTACCATGCCAATTTCAACAGTTTAGTATGAATGCATTAACATAATATAATCAGGTAAAAGATAGAAATCAATCGGAGGCCCTCTAATAGCCCTGAACGATTGAACCTAGAGCTCAACATCTATCAATCTCACTCTGCCGGAGTCACTCCGCGTGACCTGTCCGACCTTCTGCACATAAGTCGGAACCACCTAATGTAGTTTGAACGACTCATGGTAATATTCGCTCTAGTGCTTCTCTCATCAATCATCTGTATACAATAACCTAAGGTCACCCACCAGTCATAATCTCACTAACACTCTACGACTGGCCCGTCGTACCCACTCCGCGTGGACTGTACGACCAGCATCTACTTGGATCCAAGGCGAGCGTGCGATGCGGTGAATACTATAAGCACTAAACCATGGTGCAGGATATGAGCTCAATATATCATCATCATCATCATAATATTAATTAAATACTTACCTGTGCTTCCACAGCACCATCATACATATATGCATCATACGACAGTTCATAATATCCATAATATTCTATGCATGGCAATCACATCATATTTCATTTCAATATACTTTTCATTTAAATTTGATTTCTGGGGAAATCGAGTATATAGGTATATATAAAAACAAATGCCCACTCACTGGTATGTCGCCGGGTCGTAACCCCCTTGACGCCCCTGGATGTGCTCGTCCTCGATAAATGTTCCACCTAGAAGTGAAATAACTTAAAACAATCATTTAACGCACATTTAACGCACCTAAACCAAACTAGGTAATTAATTCTTCATACGATGCTCAAATTGGGTATATGAATATACCACAGTGACCTACACAACCTCAGGATCATCCCCATAATTTTAAAATAATTTTTGGAGGCCTCACGCGCCCCCACGCGCCTGACGTGGCACGGACCTACGCGCGGCCCACGCGCGGCCACGTGGCATGCACACTGACGACTACAGTGAACGGCGTTAGAGAATATTCCGTCAAATCCTAGTATATTCCGTTAAAAACTAACGGTTTCCGTTAAAGTTAACTAACGGCGTCGGAATATTCCGTCAAACTTGACGGAAGATTCCCTGTCTTCTCCGGCGAGTCACCGGTCGCCGGCGACTGTTCGCCGGTTTCTGGAAAATTTTCAAATCCACTATTCTCCTTCGTTTTTCAACCAATTTCTTCGCATTTTATACCAAAATGAAGCATTTAACAAGTACTAACACGTTGGAAGGGTTTTAGGGCCTAAAAACAACTAGATCATACCTTCCAAAATTCCTCAATTTCGGCCAAACTCGAACCCGACGATCCCGACGTCCATTTTGTTCAAACGAGGCACTCCGAGCCTCCTTGGAACTTCCTAAGACTCGTGGTGATCTCAGTTTAGCCTAAAACACAACCAAAATTAAGTTCGTGAACAGTGCCATTACACGGGGTGTTTTAAAACTAGGGTTCTCGAAATAGAACTTACCTAAAACTGGTATTCCCGTGCTCGTGAGGTCCTAAGGAGTGTCGTGGTGATCTTAGATCGGACGTTGGTGTAGGATTGTGATTGTTCTTGGTGTTTGTCCGAGAGCTTGAGAGAGTTCGAGAGTAGAGAGAGAGAGTGATACTGAAATGAAGAAAGAGAGAGAGAGTGAAGGGAGATGAGAGAGAGACATCCCACGGGTTTTGGGGAGGGATTTCAGGAGGTGGGGATCCCACCTAAGTCCAATACAAAATTATTAGACCAAACAAATGTAAATCTAAACCCTAGTTTAAGATCTTAGTGTAAAACAAATACCAAATTTACGCACCTTAATCCCGTTTAAGGGCGTTTTAGTAATTTCACGTCCTCGGTATTTAGTAACTCTGGGACGGGCTGTGACAATCTCCCCTCCTTATAGAATTTCGTCCCCAAAATTCCAATCACTAACCAGAACATCAAAAGTCATAGAATAACCTCGGATACATATCTCTCATCCGATCTTCTGTCTCCCAGGTAGCTTCTTCAGCTGAATGGTTTCTCCACAATACTTTCACCAAGCTCACGGTCTTATTCCTCAAGGTCTTATCTTTCCAATCCAGTATAGTCACTGGTTCCTCATCGTACGTCAAATCCGGATTAATTTCCAATGGTTGAGGAGGAATCACATGTGAAGGATCTGACACATAATGCCGAAGCATCGAGACATGGAACACATTATGTACCTTAGACAACTCTGGAGGTAGCTCCAACCTGTAAGCAACTTCACCAATCCTCTCAGTGATCTCATAAGGTCCAATGTACCTGGGACTTAGCTTTCCTTTCTTCCCAAAGCGAACCACACCTCTCCAAGGCGATAATTTCAGAAAAACATAGTCGCCCACATTATACATTCTGTCCGTGGTATGTCGATCCGCTAGGCTCTTTTTGTCTATCCTGGGCCACTTTCAGGTTAGACTTAATTACCTGAATATTCTGAGTAGTC